ATTAATTAATAGGTTATTTTGAAATCCGTGTTGTAATTTTTTTACAAATTTATATTTTAAAAATTATAATTTTCGTGTGGTAACATTGTCTCACTACATTTAGTTACTTTTGATCTTGTCAAATTTATTACTATACAGGGTGTAGTCTAAATACTTAGATGAAACTTTTTTAAATTTATTTCGTTGAAGACTTTTTATCATTAACTTGATATTCTTGGGATTCCGTGTTTCATTATAATATATACAGATTTCATAAAAAACATTTCTTAGGGGGGATAGGGGGTCCAAACACAATTTCGGTACGAACAATTTTATTTAAAGTAATAAAACTCAAATATTTTTCCAAAAAAACATAAAAACATTTAAAAACACGTAATAACTATGTTATTAACCAAGAACATAAACAATAAAACTAAAATAAGTTTCCAAAAAACATAAAAACATTTAAAAAACACGTAATAACTATGTTATTAACAAAGAACAATAAACTCATTATTCTATTTTGAAGTTGTCGGGAAGGTGCTTAAAAAAGTTATTTCTTTTAGAAGAATTTTTTTAAAAATATCTTTTTTAAACGCAAGTCCCTCATCAGAAATATCGGGAAATATAAAATAATTATTTTTTTCGCCTTTTATTATTTTACTAAAAAAAGCTCTTCCTTTATATCAACAATTTTATCTATAAGACCAACAAAATATCGAAATTTTTTTTTTTTGTCTTCACAAGGAACGGAAACCACAACGAAATATCTCACTTCAATGAGATTTTGATCAACTTCTGGTTCTCTCTCATAAGTACTGGTAGAAGGTTGCTCAAATACAGACATTTCATTTTCGTCTTCGTAAACGTTTTCTTCCTCTTCTACGCAAATGTTTTCCACATCACTCTCCTCAAAAATGATATTTTCTTCTCGGGGAAGATCTTCTGTTCTCACACCTTTTCCAGGGGCAACATTCAGCTTTTTACCCCTCCTCGGTTTTTCGCTTTTTTCCTCCCATCTACAGTCTTTTAAATATTCGGAAACACTTTGGCTCCAGTGATCATTAGCATTATCCTTTTCTGCTGTCTTTCCGGGCAACTTTTCCAAAACTATTTTAGCGTTTAATGGAACAATTCCACAAGCTCTATCAGAGTTGGGTCGAATACTGAAATCCGGTATTCGAATACGAATCCTGAATACTGTATTCTAAATTGTATTCGAATAACCAATATTCGAATACAAAGAAAAAAAAGTATTTGAATACCGCTGTATTCGAATACCTGGATTCATTTACATATGAATACTTTATGAATATTCCAACTACAAATAACATGTGCGCACATAAAGCTTGATTATTATTTATGTAGTTAATTTATAAAAATATAAAAAGAATTAAAAATCTATGTTAAATAAGGCTTGAAATATCATTTTCTGATACACAGTGTCACAGTGAGGTTAAATAAAGTAACTGTTTTATAAAAAAACATTTGTTGATTTTTATTTCTTAAAGTTTTATTAAAAAATTATAAATAAAACGATAAAATAATGAAAAAGTTAAAATAAAATTCTTTGGTACACCATCAGATAAAAACACAAACTTATTGTTTAATAAAAAATAAACAATTCCCATTACCTATAACCTATACCCTATAACCTACTTACTTATACAGGGTGTCCCACGAGATACGCCTCGAACCATAACTGCATAACGGTGCAATTTTCGAAAACTAATTTTAAAAGATGGCTTTTTTTGAATATACATAAAAAAGCACATTTACAAAATTTTTGAAAATTGCGCTGTTATGGAGTTATAAGCCTAAGCTAATCTTCTAAAGTCATTAAGCGACTTGCTCGTCTCGCGCTTTCGTAATGAATGACTAAATTTCACCCCGATCTCCCGATCGTCGGCATCGCGAATTCAGAAGCACTGCGACTGCGCCGTCCACAACCACCGAGAACGTGTTTTAATACGCTTAAGTTCAGTTAAACGTAACGCAATATTCATAGAAATAATCAAACAGTATTCGAAAACAGTATTCGAATACCGGGATTCGAATACCAGCCAAATGTATTCTGAATAGGATTCAGAATACCGGGTATTCGAATACTACCCAACTCTGAGCTCTATAACCAGATTTGATATTTTTGTCGATATTCAGGCCCAAAGATTCTAAAGTTTTCTTTAAAAGACGAGGAAATTCTGATTTAGGCAGAACATCTTTATTTTTCATTTTCCAATCAGTCAAGTTTGCACGCCAGTGTTTCTTCATGGGGCCAAAAAACGCAACATCCAGAGGTTGCAGCAAGTGGGTGGCATATGGGGGTAATAAAATAAAATGAATGTCGTTTTCTTCACATTGCTTAATCACAAACAATGACAAGTGACTGGAAAGATTGTCGCCAATTAACAACTTTCGCCCTTCTAATTTGCGGAAATATGGCAAAACCACTTGTATAAACCAGTCTTCAAATATTGGTGTCTCAAACCACCCACTTTTCGATCTACTGTATACAGTGCCTTCTGGGCCCCCTTCTATCCTAGTTGGGTAAATATGAAGAGCTCGGTATACGACATACGGAGGCAGCAAAACACCTGAAGCACTAGCAGCCATCATAATTGACGTGCTGCTTTTAGAAGAATCAATAATTTTATTTATATGTTTGGATCCTTTTTTACCAACGACCTTTGATCTTCCAGGATCGTCAGTTAAATTGGATTCATCATAATTAATTATGTTCTCTGGAGGAATAGGTCCCATAACAGCCTGAAGGTTATCAAAATATTCTTGAACTTTTTGCCTATCGACTTCTGCTCTACCCCTCTTGATATTTTGTGCAAGGCGCTCCGATAAAATTTTATGTCTAAACATAAATGTCTAAACATAAATCCATAAAACCAATCTTCCCCGGGCATGTTTTCTTTAAATCCTGTGATTTTTGTTCCGGATCTGTCCAAATATCATTTGACGATTAGGCGAATATCCAGCCTAGTTAAGGGAAAGCCCCATTCGGCGGAAGTTAAAATTCCTTGTGCCAGTTCACTCTCTTGTTCTTGGCTTAATTTGGTTTGCTCGCCACTTTTTTTAGCGTGCTTACCTGTCATTTTGTCATTTATTGTCGATTTTGGTATGTTGTAGAACTCTGCTGCCTCCCTCAGGGTCTTCCTTTTAGTCCTGACATCTTCAACAGCCTTATTTAAAGCCTCTTTGGCATAGTTGGATCTTTGTTTTATGCCAAGAGGACGCCTGTAATTTCTGGGCATGGTGTCCGAACTCGCCCCACGAAAAGCTATATTTTTTCTATAACAAGAAAAAAAAATTCGGGAATGAAAAAATAAATAATAATTATTCATTACAAAACATAAACCTACATTATATGAAAAATTACGATTCAATTGCTTACAGATCCCTTCCCCCAGATGTTTGTTTCTAACGTTATAAAAAATATGCAAATTACGACCCATATCAAAATATCCCGTACTTACCACAAACTTTCTCTAGTGGCAATTTCTACCTAACTGGAGTGAAATGAGACAATATTGGACATGTAAACACATGCAAAAAACTTCGCCAATGAAAAACGTGCTCGTGGTCACGTGATTTCCCACGCCGCGCACCATTGTCCGAACTCGTACTACCTCTCCGATCTCACCCCAGATTACGGTACATCGTATTTTTTATAAAAATGTAACTTATTTCTCATGTTATTAACTTGTTATAGTGTAATAATTTTTTTTAAATACTACAATATGTTTAAAAAAAGAAAACATTTGATGTTATCAAATTTTAATTCGTTTTTATGCTGTAAAAGCATAAACGAAATGTAATATCTTTTCGATACATCTATGGAAGCAGGGATGAACTAATTATTGATTATTTTCGGAAAGTGAGGACGCCATTTTTAGTCCAAATTTTTTTTAATAATGGATTACACATAAAATGCAACCCAATTTTCATTTATAACTATTTCGGAGGTCTGAGCCTTTTCGTATTTTCCGATTGAACGATTTGATCGGAAAATGTTTAACTTAGATGGTTCAAGGTTTCATTTTCAGAAAATTTATTGAATTTGTAGTTTATTCTTACAATGAAAAAGGTCTAAAAAATAGACAATTTCTTGTTAATTAAAATGATAAGTATTTTGTTTACGAATATCACCTTTTCATAACTTTCTTTAATATAAAACTGCTTTTGGTAAACTTGATTGCTCTTACTTTTTTCTTTTTTATTTTAGGTACGCCATCTCATATCTGCAATAATTAAGTATTTTTTTCACTTATATTAATGATATTTTATTTATTTTTTATTATTATAATCATCTAATACTTATTTCTAACTAATTTTATTTTGTTTTAAATTTTACTTTCTTATTTAAAATTAGTAAATCTTTTAGCAACTTGGTTTTGAAAAAAACGAGAAGCAGAAAACTTTTGAATAGGGTATAAAAATAGCCTTAAAATATCCTAAAAATATGGTATAGGGTTCAACTCAAAATTTCCTAGGTGCTCTGCTGCCTTCTGTGTGGCTGTTTTTCTCGGTTTGGCTGTTTTTCTCTATATCGCTTAGTGGTTATTCAAACTTGTCGTGTTTACATCTTCTATTACAAAGTAACATAACTCACATTACAAAGAGGTTTACCATACGCCTTCAGCGTGTGATATTACCGATCAAATTCTAGTTAAAATTATGTTAGAATACATCCCACATTAATTGATAATCTCCCTTTCTCTACTTTAATTTTATCACCCTATAAGCTTAGGTTTGTTTTCTGTAAGTGTATTTGTAATATTTCTATTTTTTTAAACCACCTAAGATCACAAAGTACGTTTTCCTATTTAGTACCTATTATAAGCATACAAATATTAAATTGTGGGATAGATTTTCTGTTTCTATCTCAAAAATAAATACTGTAACTGTAACACAAACATCTAACCCACCAAATTAAAATACTCCCATTTTTAGTGTTTTACCTCTTAGGAGTCAATGGTTTGAAAATCCGTAGTTTAATATATTTGACTTACCATCATCGGCTGTGATGTAAACGATTGATTCGTCGATAGATCCGCCACCAGATTGAATACGTTCAGAGGCAACCAACTGATGCAGAAAATAATGGCTATTGAGCAGAGCAAGACGTTCGTTCGATGCAGACGGCGACCTCGTAATTCCCGGCGGGATTTTTGAGAAGCTTCATCCCCAATGAACCCGCCGGCGTATCTATAACGAAGTTTAAACGAAATCCTCAAATATGCAACCTGGAATAAAAAAATGCATGTCAATAATCGAACTTTAAGTATTGTGGGAATTGTAATTTTTCTTTATATTTTAGAAATTGATGATTATATAAAACATGGTGAGCTAATTAGGGTAACATGTAAAAGAATCTAGTTGGTTCCCATTAGAATTAACTTGAATTCTACTATTGAGATAGAATAAAGAAGAGCTGCTATGACGATGCACCTTTGCATTACCCTTTTACGTCATATGTCAAACTCGAGATAGAGGAGCTATACTTCATACAATATAAAAGCTACCTAGTCTAAGACAAAAACCAGTGCACGTCACCGTCACAGCTCCACACCGTTGCCAAACTCTGAAACTAATTGAGGAATCTTTGAAAGTTCCAACAATTGTTGCTACAGAAAAGAAGAGTAGCTGTAAATCGTTGTGATATTAGTCAATAAGAAATACATAAAGACTTTTATTTTACAGTTTCTTAGTTATATAAAATTCCTATACAAATAAAAAAATAAATATTAAACAAATAATAAAAGGTAAACTAAAGAATACAAATTATTATTACAGTACAGTACTGCAATCGATTATAATTATGTGTGTATTTCGCTCAATAACTTCAAATCATCGCCATGTCACAATGTCTCTTTCGACAACTCTTGAGATTGTTATTTAGATTCATCGCTAACAATAATTGAAGCAATTTCTATTCTATCAATTATTCCCTCTCAAGCGTACCATTTTGAGATTTCTTTTTCTGTATGGCTGATACTTTTTTCCACATTTGTGGTGTTATGGTCCGGAGTGCTTCTTACTGTAACGTGCATTTTTAGCCGCTCAAATTACTAGAGAAAAATTCGACTAACCTTGTTTAAATATACGAAAAAAAAAAAGGTTATTTATGGCTTTAAAACCATTATTTTTGTTGTAAACTGACTATGTACTGTTAGCCTTTAGATATCATTATTGTGATTTAATTCTTCTTATCACTGGTCAGGAATATCGTATTTTGTTATACATTTTTGTCGATTTTATTCCTAGTACAATACATTGTACAATGATTATATTTGCAGTATGGTTTTATTCTAGACTGGTTTGCTTTAATTTGTTCAATTCTCCTAAAAATAGAAAGTGTAATTAATTATTTACGACGCCAATTTTATCAAATTTGTTTTCTTTTTGTTTAAAGTAATTATTTTAATTCAATGTTATTGTTTTAATTTTGATAGTACGAATTTCAGTTCGAGTTGACAGTAAATATCAGTCAGCGACGGGACACGATAATTGACAGTGTCACGTGTTTTATGTCATTCCATTTCTGGTTCCAAATTTCAGGTAATGGTAGCTCTTAATTTGCGTTCGTTTAACTGTAGGTTTGTACGCGCTTAGGAGCAGTTTCCAAATGTAGTTTATGAACCCAATCGGCGTGTTATTTTTCAATGCGGAAGTGAAGACATCGTGCCAGATTTGTTGGTAAGGTGTTTCTAACAGGTGAAGAAAGGCAGGGAACCTCAAATTTTGTCTGAGGAGTAAAATTTTTATTTTATATAACCATCGAGTTATCCTATTAAATGGGATTCTAGATTTGACTCCAATATTAATTGTGGAAGAACGGGTAAATGATATTTTAGGGGAATTAGTTTTTTTGATAAATATTCATGTTTTTTGGACCCAATCCACACCAGCTAAGGACAAAAAATTTGGAAATCCATCGACATTTGATGGTGTAATATTGAAGTGGATTCTTCAAATGTGGTTGCTGTGGGTCGTCTCGTTTTTCTTTACCTGTTTAACCCTTCACGAAAAAGGTAGGTTTAACAGAATTTTAGTTATTTGACTTCCTAATACTATTTATGACTCTTGTTGTGCTAATGTAATTTTTTAATAATCCTAGGTACTTAATAGTTTCTTGGAAAAATAATTGTATAGTTTGGGAAACTTGAGTCAATTTATATTGACACATTTTGTAATATTTTAAGGGTTTATCCAGGATCATGTTGTGCCGGATACTTTGCCTAGAGCTATACCGGATATTGAGATTAGTGAGATTTTAGTTGTCAAAGATGGTTGGTGCAATGGTATGATAGATAAGATATTGAAACACCCTATAAGGTACTTACAGTGGCGAGTTATTGATGGTAAACTATTTAAACGTATTAGGACAAATTATAAGTCTTTAGGTGATGTTGTTGACGATTGGAAAGAAGTAGCTCCTAAGGGGGATAGGGGAGGAATTATGCAACAATTGCATGATTTGCCTTTAGCTAGACACATGGGTGTGTTGAAAACTTTTAATCGTGTTAGTGAAAGGTTTTACTGGCCCAAACTTAGGTCAGATGTGGTTGCGTTTGTTAGGAATTGTTTAGTATGTGCAGCGCATAAAGTCGACCAGAGTGATCCTAAAGGACATATGACACCCCAACCCAGAGCTACTTGCTCATGGGAAATTATTTCTACAGATTTAATAGGTCCATTACCTCGGTCCATCTGTTCACTAAGTTTACGCTATCTTTTCCTTTGATATCTTCCATTTCACCAATAGTAGCTAAATGAACTGAAAAGAATGTATTAGTGGTCAATATCTAGGCCGAGACAGTAAGTGATCAAATAACAAAATTTTTAAATAGTGCTTAATTAATTAAATTATAAAATATATTGGTAATACATAAGTTATTAATGTAAAACCCACAAGAATATTCTGTACTTGAAAGTATAAATAAATTATTAAATTAGTAGGCACAGTGCACATATAAAATCCTCAATATATTGTAAACAACTCAAAACACCTGATAGTAGGGTATTTCCATTGACAGCATCACCGTCGTAATATCTCAATATTTTTCGCATACTATCTTGCGCAAGCGTCCTTTGCCTGGTACCAAGCTAAGGATCGACCGTGTTACCTGTTGGTGAATTTATTTTCTTTTTGGGTTTATGCATATGATCTATACATTATTTTAGTTTTTTACCCTATTTAGTCGTTAGTTCATTTGATTATAAATTCATCAAAACCCATTAGGTAAATAATTTTTAAGATTGTTGTACTATTTAATTGGGAAAATTGGTAATTTTTTTATAAAGGAACAAGTTGAGGTTTGTATTTTATGTCTTTTCTCATTTACTGGGTTTGTGGGGAAATAAGAACATAGTTTGGTCATTATATGGACTTAGACCTTCAAATCGTAATAATTCATTTGTTGGTATTACTGCAGTAGAGGAAACATGTCATCGATGACGTGTGCATTGGTTTTATATTGTATGAAGTATAGTCAGTTTTGGAGAAAATAAATGCTATTATTTTTTAAATAGCTTTTTTTAAATAATATAAAATCATTTTTATTCTGCCAGTCGTCAACTATAAAATTTGTTGTGATAATTTTGAATTTGGTTTTAATTTTTTTACTACATTTTAGCTTGATAGATTTAATTTCGTTTTTAATATCTGTCAATCTTTTTAATATACAGGGTTTGATTTACAAGTTTTCTCTGTAAAAAATATCTTTGTTTATTCTTCGAGCCATGAATACCATTAGAATATATTAAAAACCCTTTCCTTTTACGTTATATAAATTTTTCAGAATTTCTACTTAACCCAATAATGTTTTTAATTTTCTCCAAATAAATTTTTGCGACCTTTCTCTTTGCTCGGTATAAAATACTTTGTAAACATCTCTTGTATCATGTATCGGTTTTTATATCGTCGTCAAAGTTTATTAATAAAATACGAAAAATAATCTTCGTCAAAACTTTAAGCGAAACAAGCATTTCTAAAGTATTTTCCGTTCAGGTTATTTAATATTTTCAGGATAGAAAACGGAAGTTGGATAATTTAAAAATGGAAATTGAAAAATAAGCTGAAATGGATTTCTCGAAGTAAAAACGAAACTGAATTTGGTTAAGATTATCTTTTTAATAATTTACTGGTATATACGTAGACGTGGAGGATATCTTTCTGTATGTACACAGAGAAATATCTATATATTATTATAATATAGTCGCCAGTGTCGGTTTTACATGGGTGCTATTTGGGACTTTAGTACCGGGCGGCAAATCGTAATACGGCGGTGCGCAGGCAGAGCACTAGTAAGAAATAATTTTACCAGATTTTAAAGATCCAGCCCTATGGAACACTGGTCGAGATATTGAAATAATTCTAGAGTCTTGGAACGGTCAGAATTTGAAACAAAGTAATTTTTCCAAATTCAATAGGCCATTTAAAGGACAAAACAGATGGGCAAATAAACAAATGTTCTACAAAAAGTTAGCGTCATAAAATTTTTAGCAACACGAGAGTTAGTATTTAGAGGTAGTAATGAAAAGATAGGCGAAGATCATAGCGGCAATTATTTGGGTGCGATTGAACTTTTGTCTGAATATGATACTTTTTTAAAAGATCATATAAAAAACTTGCAAATCGTGGAAAGGGCACTGTTTCTTATTTATCAAAAGATATTTGCAATGAGTTTATAAGGATTTTATCAAATGAAGTTTTAAAGGAAATAGTGAAACAAATTAAAGTTAATAAGTATTATTCAGTAAGCGTGGATTCTACGCCAGATATAACTCACCATGACCAGCTTACAATTATATTGCGATTTTGTGATAGTAATGGATTACTAGTTGAGCGGTTTGTGGGGTTTCAAGAAAACGTTAGACATGGTGCGAAAGAACTCGAAGATACCACCCTGAATATTTTGAAATTAATGGAAATACCTTTAAAAGACTGTAGGGGCCAGTCATACGATAATGCAAGCAACATGAGCGGAAAATACTCTGAGTTACAGGCTCGTATTAAGGCATGAAACAATTTAGCACATTCTCTAAATTTAGTTGTGCAAAATACAGCAGACTGCTGTTTGGAATCTACGGCATTCTTTATTATGGTACAAAAAATTTACACATTTTTTACGGCATATTCATACAAATGGAACTTGTTATCTTAGTTTATAAAAGTTTCAGAAAACGAAAAACTTTTACCTAAGAGAGTTAACACTACGCGATGGTCATCACGATTTGATGC